CTCCTTGGCTCCATCTCTGTAGTCGGCTTCCCCGCTCTAATACCTGCGAGCTCTGCTACACCCAGACACCCCCGATCCTTCTGTGACCCCGCGGAACCTGAGACCACACTGTCCCCACAAGGGCTCCACCACCGCTTAGCCTCTAGAACGACATCTCTCAGTGGAGCAGACTTCTACAAGTTTGGATTTTGTGCTCCGTTGCTCCACCGCTTGCCACGAACTGGCCCCTACCCCACCGGTCTATCTTCCCGTCACTTTGGATTTACTTCTCCACACGTCCTACCTTCCAGAAAGTAATCGGTTTTCTGTTTCTAGAATTGCTGCTCTTCTTCTCTTCAATCCCCTGTTGGATTTGTAGGCGTTCGGAATGGCTTGATAACTATCTAACTGATCTATCTAACATAATCTAACTGATTATGACCTGATGTCATCTCAGTCTGCTACTTCTCTGCCATCTTGACTCCTCTCTCTAGGTGAATGTTTTTTTAAATCGAGGGATAACATAAATAAAGTGCAGTGATCGTCAGTGGCTTTGTGCTTAGAATTACATTTGTGCGTACCTTAGGGCAAGACAGAAGACATTTCTGGTAGCTTGTCCTCAGTCTCTAACCCCTCCTCCTTTCTAGAGCTGCCTTTTTAAAAAAAATTGTGGCGGAATACTCTAAAAGTAATGGATTATCTATTTTTTTAAAAGACTTTATTTATTTATTTGTCAGAAAGAGAGAGAGAGAGAAAGCACACAAGCAGGCAGAGAGGCAGGCAGAGGCAGAGAGAGAGGCAGGCTCCCGGCTGAGCAAGGAGCCCGATGCAGGACTCGATCCTAGGACCCTGGAATCATGACCTGAGCCGAAAGCAGCAGCTTAATCTACTGAGCCACCCAGGAGTCCCTGGATTACCTATTTTTAAGCATTGAGTTTAGTGACATTAGCTACTTTCTTTGAAGGTACTCATTACATTTAAATGGCATTGGTAATACTTTCTTGGGCACAGTGACTGGACACAGAAACATCTAGAAGAGAAAGTGAAAGTTCCCCCAGCTTCACTGTCTTCTTTAGAAGGGAAAACTATTTGGAGCCTGTGGAGCCTTCCAGACCTTGCTGTGTGTACTGTCATGCCCAGATCTCTCCATACAGGAAAGCATGATACAGAGGGCCAGGTTTTAATTGATAATTTTATTTTTTTAATTGTAACCGGAATCCCAGATGGGTTGCCCGACTGCAGCTCGCTTTCTCACGTGCAGTGTGCACGTGGCCTTTCTGGGGGTGGGGGGCGCTCCCGGACCTAACAGAGGGCATTCTGTTCGACACCTGGGGCATTGACGGTGCTGTGTCTTCTTCCCTGTCCAACACCTGGGCCTTACGTGTGTTTGTCTGGGCCTTCCTGACCCCTTGCTCCAGACCCCTCTCGCTGTCCATGCAGAGCTGGCTCTCAAATCCCACAGCCCCGAAAGGCCTTAGTTACTCCTGACCCCTGGGGAGTCACCTTCTGGAGTATTTACACTTTGCACAAGGCTGGAAGCCTCAGGGTGGAGGAGTGGAGGCTAGAGTGAGGTATGGTTAGCCAGTGGGCAGAAGCACACTAGGGAGCAGTTCAGCCCTTGGGCCATCCCTAAAATCACACTGACTCTGAAGTGAGCTTTTCCCTTTCTTTTGGTTAGTTTCACCATCCTTGCTCTTGCTCCGTGCTAAAGTTAACCTTCCAAGGACTCCTGTTTTCTTCCATCCCACACTTTTCTTTGTCCTTCTCTCTTTTACTTTGGGTGCAGCGTGGGCACATACCACGCAGCCATGAATTCACTCAACAGAGGCCACTGAGGCCCTGCCTTGCTCCAGGCACCTGATTTTGTGTTGAGAGCATAGCAGTGCGGGGCAGTGGGGGTTGCGGAGGGTGTAAGCTGGATGGGCCCTGCTCCTGTGGACTTTCCATCTGGAACACTGGAATTGTCCACTGTCACATGGAGAGTCCTGAGAGGCCAGTAGCCAGAAGGCTCTTGACGGGAGCCACAGGAACAATCATGAATCTCTGTCCGCATTTCCCAGCCAGGCCTTGTCAGCTTCTCCATGGTAACTGTGGGGTTTTGATGCTATCAGTATTAAGAAAAACACAGGCTTTTGAATATAAAAGAAAAAAAAAAAAGAACAGTAAAGTTCAAAGTTCTAATGTCCAAATGATTCCTGATGAATTTTTTTTAAAAGGTTAACATGCATACCAGATTAGAAATTTCAGACCAGACGGAAAGGTCTAGAAATGAAAAAAATGCAACTGTGCTTGTGCAGGTGCAGGACCAGAGATGAACTCCTTTATCCCCCAGAGATGAAGTCCTAAAATATTTGTAGGCTGCTTTCCAGGAAAAGCCGTTCACAGCATCACATGGGCCTTTGAAGAGCTTTACCTGTAGGGGGCCCTGCTGAGTTCCCCGCTCATGCTTCTCCACCCTGGTACCAGTTTGGAATCCAGGCACATAGCTACAAAAAGACCTAAGTCTCCTTAACATGTACGTGGATTCCCATTCTATGGGCAGACTGTAATGACCTAACCACTCTCCTATTGATGGACATTTAGGTTATTTCCAGCTGTTCCCTGGGTAAGGTTGCATTTTAAAGGTTTGAAATTTCCCCAGTAAACATGTCCTCCCAACACCTGACCATCGAGAAGAGCAGATCCCTTTGGAAAGTTTTAAAATTTATTTTCACAGTTGACTCTTACCTTTTTTTTTTTTTTTTTTTTTTGTAAGGAGGCAGGGAGAGGAAGGTGACTCCGATGTTGGATGCTTACTGAAAGAACTTTTACATCCGTGATTACGTTTAGTTCTGGAAGGCCAGAATTATCTACCTTGTGTATTAGACAAGGACTCTGATGCTCAGAGAGGACCCACAGCTCATGGCAGGGTCCAGCTGGGGATCACACTGCTCTGAGCAGCCCTGGGCCTCACACGATGTTTCACTTCCCTTTGTTTTGCCACTTCTGTACATCTGAGTTCACACGGAGCTCAGGGAGAGGTTTCTACATCCATCCACGTGAAGTTTTAGTTAGACCTCCTAACCGGGCGATGTTTTGCTCTGCTTCAGTCTCGGTTTTCTGTTTCAGAAAGCTTTGATTGCGTATGGGAGTAAGTGGTGATCAGAGGAAGCAGTGACTTTATCTCAGGACCCTAATTTCCTGGGTTCGAGTCCTTCAGCAGAAGATGAAGGGGCTGTCCAGGGCTGTGTTCGATCAGACAGCATCCCGAGTGGGTTCTGATGAATGCTGTCTGTCAAATGCGGCACGCCCGGGGGGCTCCCATCTCTGGGTTCCCACTTACTGGTGTCTGTAATGCACTCTCTGGGTTTCCTGGGCAGTAGAATCCTATCTACTGTCATTATTTATCTGTCATTTTTCTGGATGAATAATCCAAAATGAGTAAATAAAAATTAATGTTTGGATTTGGATGCTAATTTAGCTTCCAGTTAGGTTTTGTTTTGAGCGTTATTGAAATTAATCTGTGTTCCTTGAGCACATTCCACTTACTGGCAAGGTACGGTGGCCCCCAGAGTACCGTGGGTGGTTGGTTGGGGGTAAATTGAGAAGATGGATAAACCATATCAAGATAATGGAAACGTTTTCTTTAAAACTTTTTCCTTTTTTAATGACAAAAGGATGTCTGGGCATCATCCAGACCCTGAAAAGAGAGAAATACTTGAGTCAGAATCTGCCCCAAACAGACTAGTTTTCTTTTGTCTTTTTTTCTTGCTAGACGCGGCCCATTTGCATGTAAACACTGTTTAGAGGTACTGAGCCCAGAACTGAGTTTGAACTCCTGAGGAAGCACCTGTATTTCAGGAGGAGCTTGGGTTTTGGGATTGGGCAGTCTTCAGTTCCACATCTGACTCTTGGCTCAGGACCTGTGTGACATGGGCATGTCACTTTGTCCTTTGGAGTCTCTGTTTTCCTATCTGTAAGATGGGAGTGGCCATCTGTCTATCTCCTGTTTGTTACCTGGACTGAGACGCAAATCAGTGTTTCCCACAGGCCTCTTTCATTTCTCTTAGAAAGCTCCTGACTTCTCAGGGGAGAACTTCTTCCAGCTTCCTTTGGGGACAAGTTTAACTCCCTGCTGGTACTTGCCAAGCCCCCCTTTTTAAAGAGCCAGCATTTGGCTACATCTAGTACACCTTGCTTTTTCTTTTCTGTTACTTATTTTTTACAACAATAAGAGACACTGCTATTCCTTGCCTTGTAGCAGTATACTGCTTCTTCTAACATACATTTATTTAAATTAGAAGTTAGGAATGCCTGGGTGGCTCATTCGGTTAAGCATCTACCTTTGGCTCAGGTCATGATCCTGGGGTCCTGGGATTGAGCCGAGCGTTGGGCTCTCTGCTCAGCGGGGAGCCTGCTTCTCTTTCTCCCTCTGCCCCTCCCCTGTGCTCGTGTGCTCGCTTGCTCTCTCTCTCAAATAAATAAAATCTTGAAAAAGTCAGTAACAGTAGCATGCCATACTGAGGAACTAAATTGGGTGGATGGTAGGTGGGTTTGAATCTCAACTTGGCTACCTCCTGGCTCTTTGACTGTGGGTGGGTCCTTTACCAACTCCGAGACTCTGTTTTATCATCTATAGAGGGAGGGAAATGATAGGAGAACCTTCTGGGGTCGTTGTCAAGTTCAAATGAGATCGTGCAGTCAGGGCCCTTTGAGCAGCATCTGGCACATGCAAAGTACCCTAAAGGTGTTAACCAGAAAGGTGTTTTCTTGACAAGTGATGGCCTTTGGGAAGCCCACGGCTGGTGTCAGTAAGGTGCCGAGTTTCTGACTTAGGGTGGCGGGCTTGAGTAAATGGTAGCTGATGCCCTGGTTTTGATGACTTAACCATGGTGGTGTTCATCATCGTCCTGATGATGAAGTAGGAGGTAGCCTTTATTTTTGTTCCGGAAATAGAATTTCTTGGGGCAGCAACTCTAGGCAGCTTGACGATGGTGTCTGGCGAGATTCCAAGGTTCCAATCCGTGTGTTGACTTCCCTAGGCCAAGCCCAGCATTCGGTGCTTCATTAAGCCCACCGAGACGCTTGAGCGCTCCCTTGAGATGAACAAACACAAGGGCAAGAGGCGGGTGCAGAAGAGACCCAACTACAAAAACGTTGGGGAGGAAGACGAGGAGGAGAAGGGGCCCGCCGAGGATGCCCAGGAAGACGCTGAGAAGACTAAAGGTACTGAGGGTGGTTCAAAAGGCATCAGGACGAGTGGGGAGAGTGAAGGTGAGTGTGCCCGCGAACGCCACCCTGCCGCCTGCGCCGCGAGCCGGGCTGTCCCTTGTGTCTGGTCCCCGTTGTGTGTCCATCCCCGACGCCAGTGTACCTCATTCTGCAGGCCCAGCCCTTTGCAGGCAGCTGTAGGCAGGTCCTCATCACATGGGTGACCCAGAGCAGGCTTCTTGACTCGGAACCCTGTGCCTCAGTTTCTCCATCAGTAAGCAGAGGCTAGCAGATGGTATTTACTTTGTCATTCCGAGACTGGAATGAGTGAATACGCGCACTGTGCTCCGAGCAGTGCCTGGCCCGGGTCGCAAGCACCTGACGCTGTTACCGCTGTTGTCACGCTCATTGCAGTTCTGTTCGTCCCGTCACCTGCCATTCTGGTTTTTGACGCGGGTCGTTGTTTCCAGTGCACTGCAGGAAGAAAGCCCATGTTTAATGAGATCATATACCTTTAAGACAACTGTGTTTTGGGGGATCCAGTAACCAGATATCATCCCCTAGGTTCTTACGTTAGGATTTCTCTGAAGTCTTGTCTTCGGACAGTGAGTGAGGTACACCGGGGTTCGGGGCACATGTGCTCAAAAAGCCAAATCATCCGTTCCTCTTTCTCTTTTGTGTTGGGATGATTCTGGGTGAATTTCCACCTTGCTCTGACTCACATGCTAACACCTTCTCGATCTGGACAGCAGTGTGTGCTCTGGAATTAGGCAGGCTTCAGCCGTGCAGGCTCTCTGGTGTCAGGGGCTGGGTGCACAGCCACACAGATGGGGTCTCTGGCCACGGCCCCGGGCACCCGGGGTGGAGCAGAGGATGGGGTAGAAATGGGATGGGGGCTCCGCTTGCTGGCCGTGAGCTCCCCCCACACTTCCTGCAACACACGGGCTGTCCTCAGCTCCAGCTGTGGGCTGTCCTCTTGGGTGTGGGGCTGGTTGTGACTGCTCCAAAGCCGGCAGCTGTCATCGGCCCATCAGTCTGGACTGTGGGAGTCCCTAGTCTGGGAGGGTCTGGAACTGGAAGATAGAGTAGCTCCGTAAATCCGTGACTGGGAACTCATTTGATTTGGGCAGTTTGCTATGATTTCGGAGCCAGAACCCAACCCCATCTCCACCCTGCTGGCCCCATTCTGAATCTCTTGGCAGTTCTCAGGAAATGCCAAGATCCCATTTTGATAAGTCTAACTGAAGTATCTCTCTGGTGCCGCCCAGCCCCCTTTGTAAGGCTGAGACCCTCGCATGCTTTTATTCCTGTTGAAAGTGTGCAGGAAGCACTTTGACAAAGGAATTCCTGTTTGGCTCGGGACACGGATGCCAACAAGTATGTCTTTGGTGGGGAGGTGAGGGGCAAATGCAAGGTAAGCAAGCCATCTAAGTTGGCTTAGTTGCATCTTTTCTCTCTCTCGCTCTCTTTTTTTTTTTTTTTAACTCAGGAGAAAGCTGTCTGGGTAAAAACCCTGGGGTTTAGTTGTCCTGTGGCCACACTGGGGTAAAGGAGGAGGATTTCACCCCATTTTGTACTCTGTGTTCCTGTCGATTTTGTTTTGGAAAGATGCTACCTCTTTCATTCCAATCCTTTTAAGGGCTGCTCTCTAACCAGGCCTGGCCATGACTAACCCTGGTGTGGACAGGGCAGGCTTGGCCGCAAGCACACAGGCAAGTGAGTCAGCCCGGCAGCCCAGTCCTGGCGTGTGGGGCTGCAAGCGGCTTGGCTGGGCTGCTGTTCTAGCTCGCTGTTGGGATTGGGGTGATGACTCCCCAAATGCTGAACCTGCCTGTCCTCTGCCCAGGGCAAGGGGGAAAACATTGACCAGCCTCCAAAAACCTGTTTCCTGGGTGCTTTCTCGGCCAGGTTGTACCAGACAGGGCCCCAGGATCTCCCCCAGAGGTTTTGCTTGGACAGTTGATGCTGATGTTAGAACTTTAGTTGAACATGATTCTCAACGGTCGCCCCCGCCCTTGACATTTTGGTGTCCTCCTATTTTCTCAAACACACAGTAGTCATTCCAAAATATTATGGAATATTTCTCATCTTACCACCCAGCTCAACATAAATAAATATAGCTCCCACAGGCCTGTCTAGCAATGACACAGCTCCCTGGGCGGCGGCCGCTCAGGTGAGCGGGGCTTTGTGTGTGGTAAATTTGACTCTTGGTTATTCTTAGATTTCAGGTGTGGCCGGTGGGTATCCTCTCCTTAGCCTGTGTCTGGGTGAAACCAGGCAGGTCTTAGGTCGTACAACTTGGAAGGGCATCAGGCCACCGTGTCCATGTGGGACATGCTAAGAGATGGGATGCCTTGCAGTCATGTCTAGGTTTATTGTGAGCCTCGACTGGTCTCCCCAAGCTCCGTACCTCAGTTTCCCCATCTGGAAATTGAGTATTAAAAAATGTAATTCACGTGGTGCTTTTTTTTTTTTTTTTTTAATGGATATATGTTAGGATTCTTGTGGTTCTGAGAGTCAGAAATTGGACTCTGACTGGCTTCCAAAGGGTGATTATTGTTCGTGTCGCCGGAAGGCCTGGGCAGGGCCGGCCCCAGATATAGATGACCACCGGGAGCACGAGGCTCGCATCCTGCCTGCCTACCACTGAGCAGAGAAGGAGCTGCTTCTTCCCGTCGGCTGCAGCTCCAGCCTGGGAGCCAATGCCCTGTGACACTGATGGGCCTGGCTCACCCGTTGCTGTAGAAGGGTGTTCTGTGCCGACTAGTCAGGCTTGGGTTGCTTGTTGATCCCGTGATAATGACTCCCTTGGTGAAAAAGAAAATAGGGTGTGTCCATCAGAAGAAGGGGGCACGGATGCTGAGCCAGCAGAAACAGCAGATGCTCCCTGAGAAAGCTGCACTGTTTCTGTGCTCTCCTTTGCCCTTTGGAGGTGGCTCTGTGGCTCTTCTCCCCTCCAGATGACTTTTCTCTGGCGGGCTTCTTGTCCTGTCCCTGGATCTAGAGGCTTGTTGACATCCTGCTTGTAACCGGCGTGGGCAGCTCTGGAGTGAAGAGATGCTGGCCGCAGCTTCCCCTGCAAACCCTGGTGTCCCCGCACTCGTGGGGGAAATCTTGCCTCAGCGAGGTGGCAGAAGGCACAGGCATAAAAAGGCGTATGGTCACAAGTCACAATTTTGCCATGACCTGATTTAAATGTGGCATTAACATGTTCTTTTTCTACAGTGCAACCAGAATTCACACCTCCTCCACACTGAAGCCCAGACAAGGAAGAAGTGTGAAATGAGTGTGTGCCTCTGGACCCCTCTGCTTGGCTTCGGGTCCCAACTGATGAGTGACTCATTTGGAAACTGAGAAAATCACAGGGCCCCTAAATTTGCAGAAATTGCACACTAAAAGGAAAAAGAGGGGTACCCTCGTGCCCGTGGCCAAATAAGTGTTCACTTGATGCATGTCAGTCTGAAAGGACAGTTGTCTCTTTTTGGAGCCACTCAGAGCAGTAACTTAATAAGCAGACCTAGAACAAGAAAGCGAATTGTTTGCACTTCTTGTCTGAAAAATAGGGTGTAGTTTTGGTGTTTGCCTATGGAAAAAGTAGGCGCTGATTTCATGTCCTCAGATTAAAGACCCACTCTTTTCTTGAATCCCAGCAAGGGCACGGAGTGAAAAGTCCATCCCTGACTTTGAAAATGCCAGGTCAGCTGGGAGTTGAGGGGTGCCTGGACGTTGGGAACCCCAGCTTTGCCTGTTTTTTTTTTTTTTTTTTTCCTTTCCTTCTTTTGAAGCCTCCATTGAAATGAAATGGAATCCTGGCCTCATTTCTGGCTCCTCTTGCAAAGCCAGAGCCAAGCCCACGGCTGGCAGAGTTTCCTCATTGGGACGAGTTGTGGATTAGCCACTGGTAGGTGGGGGTCTGACTCGTAGACCCTGGAGAGGCTGCTCCTGAGCAGCTCTGTGACCCTGGGCAAGTCATTGCTTCCCCATGGGAGGCTTCACAATGCACAGCCCTCAGGTTGACGGAAATGAGAGCATCACCATCTCAGCACTCGACCGTGTGGCCCAGGAGCACTGCAGAGGCAGCCTGGCCAAGGTGGAGAGCAGAGTGCGGAGCTTGGAAGGACCGTGTGTGTTCAGGCAACCCCCTGCCACTCCCTACCGTGAGTTTCCACGAAGCCCGGTTCTCTGTTCATTTGTCTAACGAATTAGTGAGGTGGCTGTGTGGGTGAGTGTGTGTGTGGGGGGGGGCGCGGACAGCAGGAAGGGAGGGAGGAGAAGGATTAGGAGGCTGGGCCACCATTGCAGAGACGTGGGAGTGCCATCTTTTCAAATGGGCTTAACTAGTATAAGGAACTTCCTAGAAAAAAACATTTGGAATGCAATCTTGTGCTGTTCAGTCAAGGAAAACAACAAAACAAAGGAAGAGGCTCCCCCAAATCCCCAGCCCATACACACCCTGTTGTTGCCAGGTGCCTCTGGAAATTCTGCTCCAGAGCCGGCCAATAGCATGCAGGCCTTCCCTTATTTCCTAGGTAACCAGCAAGGGCATTTTTTCCTCCTTCCCTGAACGTTCTCGTTAGGGCCTTCTTATTCTTCCCTTCCCCCTTTTTATTATCTGTCCTCATTTTGATTCCTGGAATGTAGAACACAGAGGGCAACTCAGAAAATCCTTGAGTCTGTGAAGTCAAAGACTGTCGGGAGGTCATGCCTGTCATTTCCCTGAAAAGCACTTCATTTACCAAATATTAATCAGACTAGAATGTACATCATCCTGGGCAAGTTGATGGATCATTGCTGTTATTTAAAAAATCAGAGTGTCAGAGCATCAGGGAAGCTCCCGGGTCTGGCCAGAGTTGTCACTTGGAGGGGGAGAGGTTGACATCTTCGGGTGCTGGGGGTCCTTCGGGCTCGCCTGTCCATCCACACTGTCGTGCAACCTGCACCACCGTCCATCTCCATAGCTCTTTTCATCCTCCTGAACTGAAACTCCGTCCCCCTTAAACACGTAACTCCCCATCTTCCCACCGCCCCTCTGGCAACCATCTTTCCACTTTCCAACCTTCCAG